AGAGGTCTCAAACAAAAAGTTAGAAGGGTAGAAGGAAAATTATTTTTATTTCTCTACTGTACTGTCTCACATGTAAGTAGACAGGGACAAATTTGAATGATTCTTCTTTCCTTAATTAGGAGTTCCTCACCTTTTTGTGTACCATGCACCTTTTTGGCAGTCTAGTGAGTTTTATGGACCCATTCACAAAATAATGTTCTTAAATGCATAAAATAAAATACATCAGATTACAAAAGAAACCAATTACATTGAAATACACCTATCAAACTATTTTAATATATTTTATATCATAATGAATATGCTTTTTATTAACACAGTAAATAAATGATCTAGCAGCTAGTCTAATACCACAACAATTCAGAGTAGTAAATGAGTAAATAATATTTTGAGACATCTGAAAGAAATTGCAATATATATATATATGGCTAATATGAAAAGCATTCCCTTGGGAGTTCAACCAGGAGACCAGGAGTTCCATCACTCACTATGATGTGTGCTGACCACCAGGGGTGGCAGGGAATGAAGGAAGGTCCCTCCTGCAGCCAGAGAAAGGAAGCCCTGGCCAGCAGCCAGAAGGCCTCTATTGGCCCTGATTGCTGGGCCAGGCCTAGGAACCCTACCCATGCACGAATTTCATGCACTGGGCCTCTAGTATGAATATAAACATATTTGTGCTTTCCATCCATGACAGAGTCACAGATACTACTACTATTACAGTAGGTCCTTGGGTTATGTCAGAGATCTCTTCCTACAGCTCAAAGTAACACAATTTTCACCATAAGTTGGAACCCACCTACATAAACACTACGTCACTCACATGGAGCACATACACAGCAGTAATGAAGTGAAACAGTAAAAAAAAAAAAAGAAAAAGAAAAAGAAAAAGAAAAAAGAAAAATAACAATTTCTGACCTTTACTTATGGTAAATAACTAATAAAAAATATAAAGCACATATGTACATGCGTTGAAATGATGGAACTGTTTTTTAAATAAATCAATGGGAGATGGCAACATAACCACGAAACGACATATGTTGAGACTGATGTAACCTGAAGACTGCCTGCATTGTGGTTTGTTGCCTATATTCATAATTGAGGGGAAATGATAAATTTCAAACGTAATTGTTTTCTCTTCCAAGTTCATAGATCCCGTGAATTCTATATATGCACCCCAGGTTAAATCACTCCTTTAGAATTAGTTCTCTTTAAGGAGTCCTTACAGGGCCTCATGTTAAAAAATGTATAGCTGCCCACCTCTGCAGTCCATTGCATAAGCCCAGGCAAATACAAATCTCAGCCAGGAGTCCAGCTAGGAACCCTACTATATTTAAATGAAATATGGTTTATTTTAAAATAAAAGGGTCTATTATTAGAATATTTCTAGGTAATCAAGAAGCCTTCTTGACTGGATCAGTTTTACCCTGGCATTGCTTCCCACTCTCCATAATCTCCACCAATCCACCCACCACACAGTGACAAGAGTGATCTTTTAAAATGCAAATATGATCATGTGACTCCCCTGCTTAAAATACTTGGCTCTTCTGGCCCTCTCTCCCTTTCAGAAAACAAAACAAAACATTTAATAAGCAGTTTCCTAAATGTAATCCTATCTCCCTCCCCTACCCAATAGCAGTTTACCTTACTGAAGGGGTTTTGAACAGGCCTCCCTAAGATACTAGTATGCTACTTAGGCATATAGATTATTTTTAACTGAAAAATTGAGACCCTATGGGCTTAGGAGAGACTTCTGCCCCTCCCTTATCTACCTAGAAGAGTCTAAATTGGGGGCCTTGCCTTTAATAAGGGTTATTACCAGAGATAACTTGTGATGACCTATCTATAGCAAACTTCTAATTACTAAGCATCTGCTCTTCTTATCATCCTGCAAATTTCCTTCCTCTCCTCTGAAGCTCCAGGCACCTAACCTCATTTCCTGGTTCAGGATGCCACATTTTCCCTGTCTTGGAACCTCTCATATATATTGGGGGTCCCTGATTCAGGTATGTGTAGTTCCCATACATACATATGTAATTATTAATTTTTTCTCTTGTTAATCTGTCTCATGTCAACTTAATTATTAGGCCAGCCAGAAGAACCTAGAAGGGTGGAAGATATTTCTTCCTCTCCCACAGTAAAGTGATTCAAAATCAAAAAACCATATGCATTTGTCCATATACACCTCCTACTTTTGTAGATGCTATTTCCTTTTCCTAGAATGTCCTCCTACCACATCTTCAACTGGCAAATTCCTTCTTGTTCTTTAAAATCTAGCTCAAGCACTATCTCCTCTTGGAAAAGGTGCCAGGCCTAGCCCAGCCTCCCTGGGAAGAGTTTATTACTTTCTACTATGTGCTACCACTCACTGAACTTTGACTATACATATAGTGTGGCACTTATATAAACTAGTTTATTGAATGAGGTAGACACAGTAGGGCGTATGCAGAAAGCAATATAATTCTTTCACACTACTGCTTCACACCACAAGCTCTGTGGAATCATTTTTCCCCATCCCTGCATGAAATTTTAGACAGAGCTCATACATTTTTCAGTCACTCTCAGATATTAAAAAATAGTTTTGTTTTTTAGGCATTAAAATTTTCAGTCCAATCTAATATATCACAGATTCAATCTGCCATCCATTTCCAAGCTTCTCCCCTCCCCCAGCAAAGATCTAACTCAGATAGGAAATTCATGGTGGAGGAAGGGTAAGAGGTATGGTGGCTTCCCTCCTCATTCATTTTCTCTTCTAACTCTCCTCCCATTCTCACTGTACTGCCTCAAACCCTGCCTGCGTTGAAACACAGGGAAGAACTAAAAGGAAGGGCCCAAACAAGTTTTCCTTTACTGTTTCAATTATAACCTGGCATTGAAGAGTGTTGCTGATACTTTAAAGTAGGGGTGTCGAACTCAATCAGAGAAGGGGCAAAAATCTAAAATCCAGCCTAAATCGAGGGCCGAATGGTTTACTGAACAGTCATAAACTGTCATTGTGATGGAAACGCAGCGGAGTGCAGTGATGACAGCGCGGTGCGGGCCACATTGCAAGGCCTGGCGGGACGGATTTGGCCCGAGGGCCTTGTGTTTGACACATGTGCTTTAAAGGGTTAGCTCCCCTGTCTCTGGAGATCTCTCAACTTTAGTTTCCTTGACCTAAGCAACACCTCCTCTAACTGGCCTCTTACAACTCCTCTGTTGTTGGTTTCTATAAGCCTATTCCACTGTTGGGGTCAGTTCATACCTCTGAGCCATTTTCTTAGGGATGATCCCTTAAGATGATTCAACTCTAGAGTCTTATATCTGGTCTTTGGGAAACAGCTTTGCTCACATGTTGATGGAAGTATGGATCCATGAAAATGCAGCCCTGTTACAAGCTGCTTTAGTCATAGCCTCTCTCGCCTTAAAACTTTGTTTTCAGATGTAGGTCAGTTGCCAGTCCCTGTAAATGTCAATCCTCTGGGAAGAATGTCAAACCCTTGGAGTGACTCTCTTATAGCCCCATTCCATTTAAGTGAGTGGTAAATACCTCTTCAGTTCTCCCCTGAGCAGAAGAATCTCCAAGGCATCCTCACACCTCTCTTCAAAAGCATCCTCTCTACCACTTTCCTCTCAATCAATCCCCTAGCTTCTCTTTATATACCTTTGGGGTAAGTAATAGGCTATGGGGCCACAGATCATGTTTTAGAAGTCATGCTTTAGCCAATTCTATAAATATGGTGTGCCACCTCTCTTTAGAATATATGATCCCTTCATTTTCAGCTTTGGATTCTCATCCAAAACTGAAACAGGAAAAATCCCTTTTTAATATCTGTTGCATAAGACTGCAGTCAGTACTACCACTCTATTAGCTTCTTTTTTTAAAATATATTTTATTGATTTTTTACAGAGAGGAAGGGAGAGAGATAGAGAGCTAGAAACGTCGATGAGAGAGAAACACCGACCAGCTGCCTCTTGCACATCACCTACCGGGGATGTGCCCACAACCAATGTACATGCCCTTGACCGGAATCGAACCTGGGACCTTTCAGTCCACAGACCGACGCTCTACCACTGAGCCAAACCGGCTTCGGCTCTATTAGCTTCTTGATACCAGGAAATAAGGTTCACTCATTTTCACTCTTCCAGCACCTAGCATGGTACAGGGTAGGTGCTCAAAATTATTTGTGGATACCAGTTCAAGATGTTGGACTACGTACACGCATTGCACACAATCCCTCCTAGAGTCCATTAAAATAAAAGTACATCACAACATAAAGGAATGAATCTCTAAAACAAAAAGAATGAGATGAAGGTGAGGGATTGCCAGCAATAGAGATTGCAACACATTTCTGAGAGAAGAAAAGTAGATGTGAGCAAGTTGGCAGGCGAAACGAATGAAAACACAGTTTGGAATATGTTATGAAGAAGCAACACAAGAGATGGAAGCCAGCCTGTCTAGCAGAACCCTGGAGATACTCTGGGCTCTGAGTCAGCAAGTACAGAATGGAGCTGGAGTGAGAAATGAGAATTTAAACTAAGGAATTAATTGACAATTTGTAAGACAGAATAGCTACATTAGTCTCCATCACCACATTCTACCCCAACTCCTTTGTCCAGAGTACCAGATAATGGTGTTTGCCAACAAGCAAAATAAGAAATAAAACCCAAACTAGAGAGCTTTTATCTGTAAATAAATGGAATGCTGTGGAGAAAGTTAAGATTCTAGTTTGGATATCAGCTGCTCAGAGAAATACCTTTCTCACTGGGCATTTAGAGGGCTTATAGCCAGATACCCAATTCCCAACCTACCCACCCTAAAATAAAGCTTGTCAAGCAACCAGCCCCTCCTGCCTTACCTCATAAAGGCTTCCCTGTCAGAATTCCCAGTCAGCCATCAGAGGAGAGAACTACCTGGAAAACATACTTGCTTTATTTGAAAAACAGGCCAGCTTTCCAAAACAGCAAAGGGAAAACGCACATCAGCTATCCAGTAAGTTCTCTTTAGAAATAAATTAACAGGGTACTTCCAGTCAAGATAGTGGTGTAGGTAAATGTGGAACTTGCATCCTCCCAAAACCACATAAAGATTACAACTAAACTACCAAAACAACCATCATTCAGAACTGCCTGAAATGTAACTGAACAAAAGTCCTATAACTAACGATATACAGAAGAAGCCACATCGAGACTGGTAGAAGGACCAGAGAGACATCAAATGGACTGGTCCCGCATCCATGTGTGGCAATTAAAAACTGGGAGGAATATCTTAGCTTCAGAGGTCCTCCTTAAAGAATGAGGGGTCCCAGCCACACACCAGGTCCTCCAGCCCAGAGTTCCAGTGTGGGCTAAGTGAGAGAGGGTTGCTAGAGTCCCATGCATTCCTTTTAAAGGGCCCACCCATGAATTTACTTAATCAGACTCATTCACCTTGAGCTAGAACACCGGGGCAGCAGCTTGAAAGGAACCAGGGACAAATGGGGAGGAAGTGAATTGTCTGGCAGGAGGGCAAGAACTGGAGAAGAAGCTTTCTCCCAGACTGAAGTGTTGGCAGAGGCCATTGTTCCATTGTTCCTTTGTTAAGCAACCCCCTCCACCTTACCCCACAGAGCCAGCAGGCAGGCATCATGCCTGAGTCTCCATCAGGGAACTAGGCTTTTTTAAAAATCTTTGTTGCTTCATCTTCCCCAAGGTGTTTATGTCATATGCATATTTCAAGTTGATGCACCAATTTGCATACTTTGATGTTCCAGGCACCAGGATGGAGATGGTAAGGATAGAGGAAGGAAGGATAAGAAGGGCCCATTATGTAAATTCTAGATGTCACTTTCCATGGTCAGAACTTAGTTACATAGTCACAGCTACCTTCAAGGAGGGCCAGAAAATATTTTTATTTTACCTTACTAAAAATAGGGGGTTATTTCTAATTTAGAAAAGAGCAATGGAAATTGAAGAGAAACTAGCAGTCTTAGTCACAACCTGTTCCAGAAAGTAGTGGATTTATGTCAGAAGAGCAGGAGAGGGAAATGCTAGTATTCCAGCTGTGCAGCAGGCCTCAAGAACAACAAGTTCAGGTCAGGGCAGGAAAACAGGCTCTAAAAAAAAAAAAAAAAAAAAAAAAAAAAAAAAAATGCGGCTTCAATGAGATAAATGGTATAATGAAAAATTGGGGGGGAAAAAACCTCAGATATTACAAAATTAAATTGAATTTTTAAAAAATTCCAACTCTAGCCAAAACTGGTTTGGCTTGGGGACTGAAGGGACCCGGGTTCGGTTCCGGTCAAGGGCATGTGCCTTGGTTGAGGGCATATCCCCAGTAGGGGGTGTCCGGGAAGCAGCTGATCAATGACTCTCTCTCATTGATGTTTTTGACTCTCTATCTCTCTCCCTTCCTCTCTGTACAAAATCAATGGAATATATTAAAAAAAAATTCCAACTCTAGTTGGTACAATTGAAGGCGACTTTTATACCAAAAACAAAAACAAAAAAGACTATTATTACATGGATTTCCTTAATTTGAATTTTTTTTTAATTAGAAAATTTAAAACATAGCTTTTTCTGAACTTTTCATTTCTATTTCTAAGTTATATTAATCAGTTCTATGTATAACTTGTGCCTACTATATTGACTCAGTCAAAACTCTAATATGGGTGCTCTTATAAATTCTTGGAGAAACTGAAATTAAATGCTTGTAAATAAGCTACTAAAGCATTTGATGAGGAGGAAGGGAAGGGTACACCACCTACAACTTAACAATTTCACTTCTAGGTAAAAACCCTAGAAAGTCTCTTACATATACACATAAGGAGACTAATAGAAGAATGTTCATTGCTACATTTCTTATAATAATGAAATTTAGGAGCCACCTAAATGACCATCAGCAGGAGAATGGAAAAATAAATTGCAGTGCACTCATTCAATTAAGCACTACAAAGCAGTTATCATGAATGAGATGGCATTACATGTATCAACATGGAAAATTTCACAAACATAACGTTAAACAAAAAAAAAACAAGTTGCAAAATAATGAATATAATATGATGATGCTTATGTAGTTTTAAAAAGAAAAAAACAACACTAAATATTATTTATGAATAGATGTACATTAAAAGTATGTATGTATGGATGGAAAAGTTAAAAATTAAGTTCAGGTTAGTGGTTATCACTGGGGAGGGAAGGAGAGAAGGAAATAAGACCTTAGAAGGATACAAAGGTGTTTCAACTGTATCTTTCATGTGTTTTATTTTTTATATCAGAACAAACAAAATTAAGTGTGTGTTGAATACATGAATGAATACAACATATAGCTTGATAGTTGTTACATTTTCAGTTTTATCTCGAGGTTTACATTCATGAACATTTCGCAGATAATTATTCAAGGCAGGGTAATATAAAAGCAGTAATAAATTCATTCACTTCTGTTTATACATAAAACAACGTTTCTCAGGCACTGATTTCAAAGAGGAAAGGAGAGGGAGACCATCCAGGAATGAAAAACAGGCATTTCTCCTACTCATAAGATTTCCAGACACAAAAAAATTAACTATGATATATGATTTGCATCATATAGACTATAAAGATTATATAACCAGATACTGAGCACTGCCATCAGAGCTAGTACCTAAAATGGGAACAGGGTGTTGCTAGAGTCACATCTGCTCTGTGCACAGTACACTCTGGTGGTTTGTTTATGGTAACAATGGATGATAAATGATAATGGTGATAAAGATGTGGAAGAAATCCAAGCTAAAGAAAACAGCAGTGAGTAGAACAGAAAGGCAACTTACTGTGCAACAAAAGTTAACTGAATCAAAAGCTGGATTTGCTCAGTGATGTCTAGATTTATAACTAAACCCTTAGAGTTTTTAAACTCTACTTTTACTTAAATTTTTAAAGGAAACAACCCAAAAATATTAATCAACAAGAAACTGGATAAACAAATTGCTATATAGTTATAAAATGAAATACTACATGTCAATTAAAAGAATAAGCTATTGACATGCACAAGAACATAATGAATCTCAAAAACATTATGCTGAGTGAAAGAAACCAGATATAGAAGAATACATACTGCCTGACTGGTGTGTCTCAGTGGTTGAGCATCAATCGACCTATGAACCAGAAGGTCACAGTTCAATTCCCAGTTAAATCATATGCCCAGGTTGCGGGCTCAACCCCCAGTGAGGGGGGCGGGGGTGCAGGATGCAGCAATCAATGATACTTTCTCATCATTGATGTTTCTATCTCTCTCTCCCTCTTCCTTTCTCTCTGAAATCAATAAAAATAATTTTTTTTTAAAAAAAGAAGAGTGCAGACTGTTTGATTCCATTTAAATGAAGTTCTATGACTGGCAAAACTAAACTATGGTAGCTTAAATCAGAACATCAGCTATGGGTTGGGAAGAATTTACCAGACAGTTGCAAGGAAATGTTATTCATCTTGATTAGGGTAGTGGTTATAGAGGTATATACATTTGTTAAAAACAACAACTAAAACCACCTCATTGACCTATACATTTAAACTATATTCATTTTATTATATGTAAATTATATATCAATAAATCTGATTATCAAAAATTTCTATAGAAAAAAAATGTGTTGCAATTATGAATCTAAAAACCCTCTAGCCCAGAGATCACTGACAGCCCACAGATGTGTTTTGTTTGGATTCAATTTTTAACGTAATTAGTTACCAACATTTGTAAATTGACATTAAACTTTTTAAAAAGTCCAATTTCTCCAGAAAAATCATGAGATGTTGCACTTTTAGATCAACATTTTTGCGTGACAATAATTTTCTATTGTGCATGCCCTATTACACAAAGCATGTACTCTCCATTCTCCACAGCTCCTACCACTGGTCATTATCTTACACCAGATAAATTTTCATTTCATCTTTATTAGCTATCATTAGAAAGTACTTTGAGATAGAAGAACAAGAAAGCATAGTGCACAGTGCCAAAAACCAAGAGTAGAGAGAATTTAAAGATATCAACAGTGAGAACATTAGAACTGAGAAAACATCATCTAGGCAACTGAAAGGTCACTGGTGAGAGTAAAATTAAATAGTTTCAGAAGAAAACATACTGTGAATGCAAGGTGACTAGAGGTTAAGAAGTAAAGGGTGGTTAATAGGAGAAGCAAATGAGAGGAAAAGAATGGAACATAAAGAAATATCCAATCCTAATATTTAAAGCACATCACCAAAGTTCCTTGGGTTATAGAATACATCATGTCCACATCCATCTTCTTACATCTCTGCTCCAAGGAGCTGAGAATAAAATGTAAAACAAGTGCAAAGCAAAAGGTCAATTAAAAAAAGAAAAAGAGCCAAAGCCGGTTTGGCTCAGTGGTAGAGCGTCGGTCTGTGGACTGAAAGGTCCCAGGTTCGATTCAGGTACATTGGTTGCTGCGGGCACATCCCCGGTAGGGGGTGTGCAAGAGGCAGCTGGTCGGTGTTTCTCTTTCATAGATGTTTCTAGCTCTCTATCTCTCTCCCTTCCTCTCTGTAAAAAATCAATAAAATATATTTAAAAGAAAAGAAAAGGAAAAGAAATAAAAATGAGTTATAAAATTTAAAAACAAGGATAAAAATGGAAAATTTCCCAGTTATTTTTCAAAGTAATCATTATCCTTATTCCAAGCTGATACAGATAGCATGTGCATGCACACACACACACACACACACACACACACACAACAAATTTTAGTTGTATGTGCAAGAATTGCATATAAAGTACCAGCAAAGTAAATCCAATAGCATATAAATAGAATAATATGTCACTAAATATGGTTTATTTCAGGACTAAAAGGATATTTCAATATAATGAAATCTATCCATATTTTTCATCATATCAGTGGAGCAAAGAAAATATTGTGTTTATAAACACAATGGAAAATGTACATTTAATTAAATCCAATTTTTAAAAACAGAATGAAAAAAATCTCTTAACCTTGAAATAGAAGGATGTTTCTCTATTAAGATAAAAATATGTTTCTTAATCTAAATGTCATCATCTTAATTAAGGGTAAAACACTAGAAGTATTTCCTTTAAAGTCAGGGACCAAACAAGAATTCCCTCTACAGTCAGTGTATATACATTTTCTAAAAGTGCTATCAGTAAAACATGAGAAATGAATTAGGAACATAACTATTAGAAAGGATACACAATTATAATTCTAACA